CTGCTATTAATAATTTTTCTTAATAATTTTTTCTTGCAGTGGATACATTTTTAAAGATTTTTTATCAAGTGTTCCTTGAGTAGTATTTATTTAAACTCGTAATCTTTAGTATTACTGTCATTTTTATCAGTGTCCTTGCTGATTAAAGGTATTCATTCTTTTTATAAATCTTAAAAAAACATACATAGTGTATTGAGGTTTTCCACAAAAACATTAGGTTGCAGAAGCTCTTTTTAGTATTGATTAATAAATATAAGATATTAGAATGATTTCTGAAGGATCATGTGACACTGAAAACTGGAGTAATATTTGCTGAAAATTCAGCTTTGTCATCACAAGAAAAAAATATTTTAAAATATATTAAAATAGAAAATTTATATTTTAATTAGTAATAATATTTCAGAATATTACTGTTTTTACTGGATTTTTTATCAAATAAATGCAGCCTTGATGAGCATAAGATACGTCTTTGAAAAACATTTTAAAATCATAATTATTCCAAACTTGATAAGTAGTGTATATGAGGAAAAATGCATATTTCCATTACAGTTTCACAAAAATGTATCTTATTCCTTGTATTACTTAAAAAAAATCCAAAGGATCAGCAAAATGCGTACAACACGTCACACCACAGACAATAGAATTTCATGTGAACTATGCTTAATCTAGTATTTGTACAAGCCTAGTCTGTGAGTCAAAGCAAACATCCTGACCTTTTCAGCACTGCCATTGTGTAATGGACTGTACTTCATGTTGATGATTCATTAGCGTCAGTGAGTGTCCTGTGTCTGTCCATGTGATGAGAGCCTTACTCAAATGAGGCTCCAGGTTTGCCTGAGCAGATGTGTGGTTTCCTGGGCAGGATAAGAAGAAAGGTCTTAGTTCCTCTACCACACTAACAGAACCATCATGTGAGCAGCTCTTTCTGAGGACATCCCGAAGTTATGCAGAGGCCAGTCAGATTCGACCGCAATACCAAAAAAGATATTATGTCTGCTTTTGAAGAAATTGATAGCAACATTTTGGAAGAAATAGTACAGAACCTTAAATCGTCAACCTGCTATCTTGACACACTTCCCACATATTTTTTTCAAAAGGGTGCTTAATTGTTTAGAAGCAGATCTCTTAGAAGTGGTGAATGCCTCACTTCTTTCTGGGACTTTTCCAAACTCCCTGAAAACTGCAGTTGTTTAACCCCTTCTGAAAAAGAGCAATCTTGATAACACCATATTGAGCAACTATAGACCAATATCAAATCTTCCTTTTATAGGCAAGATTATTGAAAAGGTCGTTTTTAATAAGTCTAAGTGGACGTCCATGACATGTGTAGTCCCACAAGGCTCAATTCTTGCACCGCTCTTGTTTAGCCTGTATATGCTCCCACTAAGTCAAATAATGAGAAAGAACCAAATTGCCTATCACAGCTATGCTGATGATACCCAGATTT